TGTTTTAGTATAATTCAGATACTATATTACAGTTTTTATTTTATTTTTATTTTCCATTTTCATAATAATTTTGGTTAAAATTGTAGTAATTTAGTTGTGTTTTTGACATTTTCATTAATTTTATAGTTTTTCTATTAATCATTTTTATTTCAGTTTTAGTGCATCAAGTTAAACTAAATGAAAACGAGAAAAGTATAGCCTTGGCAATTAGGCCTAGCTGAAATAATTTTTTTAAAAATATTTTATTTTATTTAAGTTAACGTTTTTATTATTTCAAGCAACAAACATGTTTGTTTTTATGGTTATAGTTAGAGCAAACTATATTAACACTGGTATCAGGATCAATACTCCATTTCGAAAAAGCTAGATTATGATCTAAATTAATAAGGAATAAACAATTAAATATACAATATCTTTAGGTCTATTAGTTTGATACCAACTAACTAAATAAATAAATGCTGATAATCCCTAGAAATAAAAGTGTTTGTATCACAAGCATTAATCAACATTAATCAAGTCTTAATGTTGAGGTTTACAAGAAAATCAACACTTTGACAAAGTAGGAATGCACAACCATTATATTGGGAAAAAAAAGGAATAATAAAAAAAAGCACTTCTGGGCAAGAAGAGACATTCAATTCCCATTTGACCAAAAAAAAAATATATATATAAACTAGGGATGTCAACGATTAATCGACGATCGATTAATTGTCGATAACACGTTTAATCGATAAACCTTATCGATCATCGATTAAGCAGGTTCGTGCTGCTCAACCGCGAAACATGTAAGCGAGCGCGCCGGAGTTATGTTTGGGACTATTTTACACCTTCATCATGACTATAAGTTTGCGTGTGCATTCGCTGCCTTTTGTTTTGGGCAAATGTAAGTTGTAGTTTATTTTGTGTGCGCCTATCTATATCTGATTTATCTCATATTGGATGCATTTGGTTAAGAATTGACGCAGCGTGATCTTTAGCGCTCGCAGCTCAAATGGCAATGCACGACTAATAACGACTATTAGGACTGTCATATTATATAACATTATAAAGAGAACAATATTGTAATAAAACATTGTGAATTATTTGGGTTTAGTTGCCGTGTCGCGTTGTTCCAGGAAGAGCGCGTCCACAACATGAGTCATTCTGAATGGCACGTAACTTAGTTCAAGTTCACTTGTGCATTCACGTCATTTTGTGCAGATATAATTTGTAATATTATGTTTATTTTGTATATATCTGATTAATCTCATAGGATGCGTTTCTTTGAGTTAAATAACGTGCTAGCAAAGTGCTCAACGGTTAAGTTATTCATTCAGCGCGCGCCGCTCAAGCAGAATGCACGACTAATAACGAGGATTAATTTGGGACTGTCATATTACATAACATGAGAACACTATTTTATTAAATCGGTGTGAATTCATTGGGTTTAGTTGCCGTTTTAAGTGCGTTGTTCCAGGAAGAGCACGCGCCCACAAGTCACACATTCTGACAAGCGCATCTGAGGCGGCGTTGGTGACACGTTGTATTAGTCGTTATATTTGATTATTAAATATTTAATTTAATTCAGGGCCTGAATTTCGTTTTGGAAAATGGGGGGGGGGGGGGAATTCCCCCCTTAGATGATTCTCATGGGGAGAAGGGCGGGGGGCATTTTTTCCAAACAAAAATTACATTTATCTTGCCGAAATGTTTGCGCTCATTGCATTTTTACAATGGGGTATTGTTGTTAAGAGTTTACACAAGGAAGCTTGATTTAAATTGTTTAATTAAATTGAAAAAAGTAGCACAAATAAATACAATAGAATAAAGATACAAATAAAGACAAATAAAGAGAAAAGTTTTTCAATGGGTCAAACTTCATATAGGCCTACAGAAACTGAATAAAGTAATCAAATGGAAAATAACACTGGGTAGTATTTTAGTCCTGAATAAATTAAATATAGGCTATTAATCCTGATTCCTTTAACTTAAAGCTATATTTTGTTGTTTTGACAACTAAATTAATGAGCTAGTGCACGGATCCTGTGTTCATTATACTGGCATGCGTTTTATGCTTATTAAAAGACAAAACCGACTATGTTTAAAGTATACTCACAAAGACCGAAATTGACACAATTTTGCGTGTTAAAGCAATATAATCCGCGAAAAATAACTTTTGTTACTGGGCAGCTGTTTTTGAGGCAGATTCTCTATGAATGTGCACATAGAAAATCATCTCAGAGAGCGCACGAGCACTGATTAGTTTAAAATCGCTTGAATGTTTAAACTGGTAAGACTTAAAAAGACGTGCAAATGGTAAACTTCAGTCACGATGCACTGCTGGCCCGATTGTGCAAGTGAATATTGCGTCATGTCCCGACTCCTAAACGCGAGTGTGTCGCCGCAGCGCTTGATGCTTGCCTTGCACAACACATTTTGAGAGAAGAGATAGAAGACGCGGCTGAACACCCACGCTGTTTGTGAAATTGCGCCTGGCAGATAGTTGTTAAATTAATGATTTGATTTTATAATCTGTGTGGATTACGATTGCGGGAATTTCCTGCATTATAAATGGGAGACCTGTGGGAATAATTAGAATTATGCGCTATACCCGCAATCCCGCGCCGAAATTCGAGCCCTGTAATTTAATTATCAATCACATCGAAACATTTTACAATCCTACTAGCCCTTTATTTAGATTAAAACCATTCTCATTAATTTGGTGAGGAACATAGCGGTTTGAGCAGCATTTGCAGACGCTGTCATGCTGTTGGCCATATGCACTGCAGCAGAGGCATATTGCAGTATTAAGGCTAACGATTAATTGATCGTTAATTTAAACGACGATCGATCATGGGAATTTGTGAAAATTGACATCCCTAATATAAACACATAAAAAATAAAAAAATAAAAAAAAACACAAATAAAGACACAAACCAGTGATGTTCCAAGAGCTTTTCTATGCAATAGCAACTTTGAAAAGATTGGCTTTTGTTTGAAGAAAGAAGACCTCCGTCCGTACACCTACTACTCTGCACACTGTGTGGAGAGAGCAACTCATGAGTAGCTGTTATTGATAGAGCACTTTAACCCCAGTCATTGCACATAAAAAACCTCACATTCACCAATTCATGAACAAAAACCTCAACAGGTTCTCAAGGAACTGCAGAACAGTCTTCGCCCTTTAATTACCTATTTTTAACCCCCCCCCGATAAAAAATTTTTTTTTTAAGAATCCAACCATAGCTTTATGCCATGTTTCCAAAAAACAAACAAAAAAACAGTGTGTTTCCTATTCAATTCCTCATCTATCATATTGCTACCTGCATCACCTAAGGGCAAAGCATCAAAGAACTCAAGAACAGAGCGCAGACATCCTGTGAAATTGCATTTACAGTAAGAATAGCAAATCTTGTTCAATAACACTTAGGACAGAAGACCTACTCAAGATCAAAAGAAGTCAAAGCACTCAGCTGTAATGGATATTGAGCAAATGTTGGTTCTGCTGTGAGAACACCCACATCTATTGAATCTCAAGTGTGTGCTCTTCTGGCAAGACGTGGTGTGCGTTTTATTGAGAGGATTCGCTAGAGGACCTTGATCCAAAGAGAACATAATTTTACAGCCTTTTCAGGACAGGAACAAAAGAAGATTTACTAGGCAAGAAGTAACACAACTCTATTTTCTGTCAAATTAAGCAGACGGACTTCTGACTCTTTTTTACATTTGGAACTACTCGCGTTGCATTAAGCAAATCACAGCTACAAGCTATAATGCGTCTCATTGATGCGCTGTGAATTAGATCATCAAACCGTAGATCTGCTTCCTCTTGAGTATAGTATTATAGTATTATTAGACGCAAGATGATATTCAATTCCAAGTCTCAGCCGAGTCTGACGCCCATGATGATGTAAAAGCCTCGCATTCATGTTCGTTGGGAATTCATTAACAGATGTGAAGCGACTTTTTAAAACTACATGAAGACAAAACCAATGTGAGATCAACAAGTATTAAGCCAAAATGAGAGAGGGCTCTCCAGTTTACAGTAAATACAAGGGTTCATATAATTTTTCCTATATAATATTACATACAGCTACAACACCACTGAGCAGAACCTAAAGAAACTATGAACCTTTGTTTGCATACGGTACTACAGTCAATATCTTTTAGTAGAAGGACCTTTATTTTTTGTAGGTACTGATATGAAAATGTTGGCCTATACCGATAACTCTTTTTATATTAGAAAGCGATAACTGATATATTGGACGATCAATCTAAATCCAAATTTTTGTATAACTTTTGAGAGCCTGATTACAAAAACAAAAGTCTCATCATTAAAAGCCATGTCTCAAGCACACAATTTTAATGATGTTCTCAATATGTTATGTGTGCTGCACATGTTGCACTTGAACTGTATTTTCCTTCAAAATATAGTTTAGATTCCAATCATACAGTATGTAAAGCAATTCAACCCCATCATGGCGAACAGCGCGCATCTGAAGTGTCTCAGCTGAAGGAAATAATCCATTATTTAGCGGCTTTAATATATTGGCCAAATTTGGGTCGATAATGATAACATTAAAAATGAACATATATCGGCCGATATCAATATTGTGGCAGATATATCGTGCATACCTAATTTTTTGTCTCGTATGATAAACCTTTAAAGTACGGAGCCCCTAAAGGGACATGGTAAAGGACAAAAATATGAGATGGAAGAAAAATTATTTGTCAATCCTTTTGCGTTCTCTCGCAAATGTTTTGCTTTACACCAACTCGCCGAGGAACTTTGCATTCGCTCACAAAGAACTCAAAAAGGTTTTTGTGAGTGAACGCAACGTTTCTCTGTGGATTTGAGAGAATGCAAAGCATTGACTTGTTATTTTTCCACCGCCATGACCCTTTATAGGGGCTCCGTATTAAAGCCATCCCTTTAGCCATGATTATGATTATAAAACAGCTTCTTGTACAGGTTGCAAGACAATAATGCTAGGTGAATGAGCAAAACGCTGACAACTTACTTTATTGGACCATTTGTAAGCCTGGAGCAGCTGGCTGTACAGAGGAGTTTTGTCCTGTACGGGGTCTAAACTGAGCAGTCCACTGTTGTGTAAGGGGTGACTCTCTGACGGCCTGCCAACCAAAGTGCTGAGACGCTCCAATTCACTGCAGAAGCAACAGTCATACTGTTATGGTTGATATACAATTTATGTGTGTGTGTGTGTATATATATATATACACATGCATACAGAGAGAGAGAGAGAGAGAGAGAGAGAGAGAGAGAGAGAGAGGTATGTTTTTCTAAACGATGACACCTTTTTAATTTATTGTTCCTAAAGCCTAGCTGTTTTGACTTCAGAAACCATAATTAAAAAGATGTCATGGTAACCATAATTACCGCCCAAACAGTTACTACAATAATTGTTACAACTGCAAAATAATAATGAAAACATTATGGAATGGAAGACTCGAACATTATGGTTACTTGCTTTTCATGCTGACAGCAGTGGACTGGGTAGTACAAACAAGTTACCATGGTTTATTACAATAACAATAGCATTTACTGTGTGAATACCGTTACAAGGGCTAGTGAACAGGGTTAACGTTAGTGAATTCTGTCAAACAACTCACTTTAAATCGCGATTCACTGACTGTAAATTATCTTGGAATTCCGTTATAAAGACTTTCTCCCGCCCTTCAAGGGTCTCCTTATTCTTCATCCCATCTTTAAGAGAATCGAACACCCTGGTTACACTCGATCGAAGAGCCTGGATGGCATTAATCGCTTGAGAAAAAGCTTCTAAATTCACTCCAACATTCATGACGTCCGCCATCACTTCTCCGTCTGAGATGAACACTGGCGCTCGACGAGTGACGTCACTGCTGCCGAAAGGGATGATGGGATTTGTTGTTTCGTTGATTTACAGGATCTTAATTTTACAAAGTGGCTGGGAAAAGTATTTTTAAAAAATCTATTTAAACTAAACTAATATCTCGGCTTATAAGCACACACGTCATTATTTCTGTTCATTGCTTCAGTTTACTCTTTTTAGGGAAATTATCATGCCGTGCATGGACAGCTCCATCAGATGATATTAGAACCAAAAAGCCTTAAACCATTTTTAAAGCACTAAATACCTCTTAAGAAAGGTTAATTGTGCAACCATATTACCTGCAATCATGTTGCCCATTCTGGCCTGTTCGTAAACTATTTATTTATTAATTTATTGTTTGTTTGTTTAGGCTACTTATAAATTATAATATTTATTGTCATGGTTTTTAAATTGTACTTAATTATTTAGTATAATTGCAAAAATGCAAACCTCGTATAGAACTTTAAATATAATAATTATCTCATATAACATTTTGTTTGCCTCCTGATTGATGTTCAACATTATGAGGATTAAACACCTCTTTTCAACGCTCAAACGCACTCATAAAGCTTGCCACAGTGCACCGGCAAACATAATGATTATGAGTGTGTCGTGAAAAAACAGAAGGAGACTGTCTAAACATTATAATAATTTATTGATAATGTTTTCTGTGTTTTTGGCTGCAGAGATTAAGTCAATAATATATGCTGACTCGCCATCTCAGCATTAGGCTATCTATTTATATGGATAACATATCTGAGAATATTTATTTTCCATTTGAATTGGTTCATTTAAGTAGATATGTCAAGCTTTCCAAAGATGTATTTCTCATGTCTGTGAGTTTCGGTTCGTTTTGTGATGTGAGTGTGACTGAGACCAAGACGGCAGAAAGCGCATCCTGATTGTTTTCAGTATTTTACAATAATGAAACTGAAATGAACTGAAGACCCAATTTACAGTTTGCATTACTGTATGAGTAAAAATGACAAAGTATTTTAAGTTAAATGCAAGTGATGGCGCCGGCGCCTGCCATGCAGCGCACGCTCTCCATACAAACACTTGCAAGTGCTTGTTACTACTTGCATGTTTCAATTGATAAGCCTTAGCCTATTTGAGGCCATGAATGATAGGCGAATGTTTGGATTTCCTGCCGTTAACGATCTGTCCATCACAGACTGCGTGACTTCGCCACCTCCTGTGGATTTTTTTTGTTTGTTTTTTTGCGACTAAACAAAGTAGGCTACATGTTGGTCGACCAAACCTCTTAGTCGACTAAAAGTTAGTGGACTAGGGGGCAGCCCTATTACTTTTTTTATTTTATTTTTTATTCATACAGACAGACATACGCATACATACATTACCACAGTTTTAATGCATTAAACCTATTACAATTTGACCGAAGCTATGGTATATTCTGTAAGGCTTCTGTCTGTATGACTTGTGAGGAGGAGATGTGGAATCCTCAGCCTATGATCTGTCTCTTTAAGCGGGGCGGACTGCCTCATCTGCTGCTGGGACGGTTCAGCTCTTCAAGCCCGTAGATAAACTTCTGTTCCACACTAGTTAGGCTAAACAAGGCAGGCAGTTTGCAGTGGCCAAAAGTATATGCATCGAGGTTTGCAAAAGACTAATGAAAGTCGGATATTGCGATGCGCAAATAGATAGGCTAGAGTAGATTAGGCAGATTGAATGGAGCAGGAGCGGGGATGGGAATGGGAGGTGTAGAAGCTACTCCGAAGTCTGTCCTTGAGCGCACAGGACAGAGACATCAATGAAGGCAGGGACAGGAAGACAAACTTTAAATGCACGTTTTCAAGCAATACATGACTCGCTTCGGAGCAGTCTGGATGTAGGGCATCTATCTAGAATGCTTTCCAACAAACTACGCGGCAGCCGAAGAAAGCACGAAGGGGAAAGCGTTTGCTGTGATCTACGGAGAGGAGTAGCGTGTGTATGTGTGTCTCATCCATCTCAAGTGATATGGCAGGGAACTGACTGAGAGAGAGAGTTTATACAGGAGAAATTCATCTGGGTACAGTAATGGTGCTGATATCTGGAGCCAGGGTAAGTTTACTCAAGTATGTTACTTATTTAGTCTTAAATATTTTGGAAATTGAACATGCTGAATCTTTTAAAAGCTCTCAGATTATGGTCAGCTTTTCAGGGGATGCTCTTTGATGAATTCAAGTAGGCTAACTTTAGCTCGAGAAAAATAGGTTATTGTCTATTACAAATCCCTGATGTTTTTTTAAGTGCTTTTAACTAAACTTGTTTGCTCAGTTTTCTGAGGGAAAAAAATTGATATGATATTTATTTCTTTAGTTATTTACATTTATAATTTCCTTGATTTATACGTATTCTTTTTAGATAAATATAATACATTTGTTTAATATTCGCGCGCATTTCATGTCACGTCATAATACAATTGATTAATTCGCATTCTTTTGCACCATGTCTGTTCAGATGACCTACTTAAGCGTTTAAATTATTTTAAAAGATTCCAATTGCAATGTCGAAGTGTAAAAGTAAAGAAAAGATGGGCACATGGAGTGGCAGGTTCTTGAAACACAGCTTTGAAAGTTCTGCTGTATAAAAAAATTAATAAATAATTTTGGGGTGGGAAAACTGGTAAGGCTGTTGTTACCAGGATTTTTTTTTGTAAAAATAGTGACGATGTTTTAGTTGTAATGGTGTCAGTTTACTTTACAGTTCTGAATATGCCATTAACTCATATAATGTCAATATACCAACCTACAGTAGATGGGTTATTCAAATCGGTTTGTTTCTGTAAAATCTTCTGATAATCACAAAATAAGGCCATGATGACTTTAAATTAATCATAACCAACATCTCAATCAACTGTGACCAGTATAAGACAAAACACCATCAGAGAAACACATGATACCAATATAAACCTTTAGTAATAACATTTAATTAAAAAAAAACCAAGGTATTTAATACCTTTTTGTTATAAAAAATAATATCATAAAATATACATATTGCCTTGTAAAATATTCATTTTCTCCATAAACTAATGCAAATGCATGCATTGTATTTTAAAATATTTCACAGCATAACTGTATAACAGTGTTTTTTTAACTGTAGCATGTTTTTTAAAATTAATTTCTTTCTATTTCCTAGGCAAACCATCAGAAATGAAACAGCTAATCTCATCACACTTGAATCTCAGATTGGACTCAGACACCAGACATCTTCTGATTGCACACAAACCACTAAATGCTTTTTATGTCTCTGAACTGAAGTGACATCCACCCCTGAACAGGAAGTCAGTTGCCACGTATAGAAACTGAAGTTTGAATTTTGAGAATGTCACAACAGATCTGATTATTACACATTTTACAAATTCGCACACAGTTTTCTACGGAAGACCAGAGATTGCCCTTTTGCAAGAAACCGCCACCGTGATGGATTTTGGAAAATTCGCAATCTAAATAATTTCCATGCTGATACTCCTTGCCTTTCTTTCATGCCCATGGACCCATCCAGTGCCATGCTCTCACAGGCGCTCCTGCTCTTACAGTGCATTATCCTGACTCTCGGCCAGTACGATATCTGTAAGTCGCTGGTCAGCACAGACGATGGACCAACATGGGAATATTACGCTTGCCAGCCCAAACCCACGTCCATGAAGGAGTACATGCAGATTCGAGTGGAGCCTCCCGATATCACATGTGGGAACCCACCGGAAAGGTTCTGCACTCTGGTGAGTTTGGACTGGATCACTTTTGGCTCTGCCGCTTTGTCAGTTACATCTGTTCTACTGGAACAGCTTGTGTTTGCATGCAAATATAGTTTCCAATCATGTTTATTTATGATAGTCTAAGTTTGATGCAATTTCAGTGCAACTCTAGAAGTTTCATAGCAAAGAAAGTCACTTTTTAAATCGAAAGAAAATATATCATAGCATATACGTATACAGTACATGCCTTTGTAATAATGTTATTATTGTGATTAACTACCAATGCATATTGAGGATATGGGTTTGCTTATCAAAACCTGTTAAAGGGATATTTACTCACCCTTATGTCATTCCAAACCTGTGAAGACAATATAAGGTTTTCTAAAGAATATTGAAAACAAAAACAGCTTTGGTTCCCTATTTTTTGACCATACAATGGAAATGAATGGGAACCGAAATAGTGGTCACCAACTTTCTTCAAAATATCTTCTTTTGTGTTCAGCAGAAGAAAGTAAGTCATACAGGTTTGGAAGGACATTAGGGTGAGTAAATGACCGAATTTTCATTTTTGGGTGGACTGTTGCTTTAAGAAGGCAAGTAATCAGACATAAAAATAGTTTGGCTCTGTTTATTTTTAGAAAGAAAGGATAAAAGAAAGTAAAAAATAAAATAATGAAAAAACATTACAGTAAGATCTGACACAAGAATACTAAAACGTCTCCAAGTAACCCTGATATGTCTTCACACAGATTATATAGTAATCTGCAACATGTGGACGTTAACAATGTGTTTGTTCAGAGAGTCAACAAAGCCCGAGTGGATGTGTAAATGTGCCTACACAGCTGTTATTCAGTGTAGTTTCACTGTAGCACGAGACAGCAGCCACCGCAGGATTATCTGTGTAAATCAACTCAGGTTTAGCACCGGACGTGAGGGCGCAAACAATCTGCGTCTTTCCAGGGCACATCTGGTGACCGATCGACATTCTGGGTTACTCTGCGACATACTTGAGAAGAGAGATTACGGCAGTCACAACCATGAAAATATTATTAATTTACAATCAGTGTTTTGAGGAGTGAATTGAAGGCCCTCTGTCAGGTTGGTAAAGTATGAATGTAGCCAAAGTTAATCTCCATCAGAGATGCTTTGGGAATTTAGCCAGACGCTTGATTGCACAATAATCGGATAGAGGATTTGTCCAGCTGGACTGACACTACGCATGGGGCCCGGAGACGGAGAGCTGCTTCTGACGGGGTGCTAATTCACACATTTAGAGTGTGTGGATAAAAGACAGGATGCCGTTGAGAGAGAGAGAGAGAGAGAGAGAGATTGGGGGGGATCAGACATTGCTCATTCTATGACATCATTCTCTCACCATATACCGTTCGGCTCACACAGTGACAACGGGTGGGTAGCTGGACTGTGAACAGAGTGTGGAATTCAGTAGCCAAATCGATTTTTCAAGAATCAAATTTATTAAGGCATAGTGATTCACAAGTCTTTTATTTGTGGTGATGGATTTAGTTGTCAAAAGTAAAATGTAGGAGAAACAGATCAAACTCAGGTTCTCAAACTCAGTTTAAAAAGAAACATAATTGTTTTAAGTTTGCAGTTCTTTGGCAGTAACCTGCAATAAGGCTGTAAAAAATGCCAGGGTTTCTCACCGGCTCGTCCTGGTGCCCGGGTCTGTCCAGCTGGAGAGATACCTGTGAGCAACCCTCCACCTTCAGACTGGGTGGGGTTTTCTCTGTAGTTTAATCATAGCAAAGTCTAAATTACTCAAATTTAAAGAATTCCTCAAAAAATCAGTGAAGTTGAATATTTGTGGTTAAAATTCACTTATATTTAAATTGCCAGAAAATATCTACCGTGAAATAATCTCAAAACATCCCAGGAAAATAAAAATATGGAAATATGAAAGCACATTATATTATTATAATAGCATGAATTAAATACTATATATATATATATATATATATATATATATATATATATATATACAGTATATATGTGTGTCTTATCTAAAATAAGGACTATTACTTGAGCACCAAATCATTAGAATGATTTCTGAACGATTATGTGACACTGAAGACTGGAGTAATGATGCTGAATATTCAGCTTTGCATCACAGGAATATAATTGCATTCTTAAATATTTCAAAATAGAAAACAGTAATAAATTGTACGTTTTTACTGTACGTTTTTGAACAAATAAATGCAGCCTTGGTGAGCACATATTACATTTCTTTTTATTACAAATCTTAATGACCCCGAATTTTTGAATGGTAGTGTTAAATTAATGAACACACACACACACACACACACACACACACACACACACACACACACACACACACACACACACACACACACACACACACACACACACACACACACACACACACACACACACACACACACACACACACACTTTAACATAAATAAACCCTCAGAACAGATGTAATCTACACCAGATATTTACTGTTAATATTTTCCCAAAAAACACATTTGGCCACGATTCCTGTAAGTTTCCCATTTTTAATACATTGCACCACATAAAACTTTCTGTCCTCATCTACTATTCATACAATAACCCGACACAAGGGCGTATATTTCGTGCATACTGATTACGGAATATTTTCCATGTCGACCTGAGACGGCTTACTGAGCAGAAGAAACTAGAGATGAGTTTTAGGAGAAGAGTGTAGTCATGTCCTTCCCTGTCAGCACTTTCTTCTCAGATCGATAAAAGCTGACTGTTCATCCACTGATCAGCCTGCTCTGCATTCAGATGTTGAGCGAGAGCGAGGGAGGGAGGGCGGAGGGGCCAGGCACTTTTAAACTGAGGAGACCTTCTGGCATTCACAAGATCAAACTTGCTCCATGTGAGAATAACTCCAGTGCCTGCAGTCACAGTGTGTTTTAAAGCAGCAGTGTTAAAGAGAACTGATCCACACGTGTTTACCGTTACAACTCCAGGGATTCAATGTAGTGTGAGGCGTCCTTGACAGGAAGTGTCTCGCCTGTGACTCTCAGCAGTTGTAGGTGAACCATTTGCTACTGTAATGCCTATCTATCTATCTATCTATCTATCTATCTATCTATCTATCTATCTATCTATCTATCTATCTATCTATCTATCTATCTATCTATCTATCTATCTATCTATCTATCTATCTATCTATCTATCTATCTATCTATCTATCTATCTATCTATCTATCTATCTATCTATCTGTCTGTCTGTCTGTCTGTCTATCTAGATTATTTATTTATAGGCCTTCTTGTATATTTTAGTTCATGTTATTATATAATATTATATGCTATAATTTTTCCATGCAGCCTATAAATAAAAATACACAAACAAATAAAAAATTTTTTAATTAGTTTCATTCGATTTGTTTACAGTTTTTCTCAGTCGCTTTGCATTTCTCAGATCAGAATTGAAATTCTCAAAACTACCTGTTCAATCTTCACATCATTGTGTCACTTGTGCACTTCAAAAAAGCAGTTTCTCATTTCTTTGAACAAGTTGCAAATGCTTTGGTACATCCATGCAAATGATTATGTACAATTCTCTGCTGTTTCCTACATTATCAATTGCTTATGTCATGTTGATCAAAATGTTATAATGGGTCTTTATTGAATAGTCTCACCCCCCACAACATTTAGGCATTAGTTCATAGCATATGTCTTTACATGCAAAATGGTTGAACAAGTTGTCATAATCAAGCATATTTCTATACATTTCCATTAGACTTTTTTTTTTCTAAATCTGTCCTGTTCACATTTCACTTTTTTTCTTTGTGCTATGCAGTGCTGTCTTTTCCTTTCTGTATTGCAATGACATGGTTTGTCAACAAATTACAGTACAAACAGTAAAAGCATTAATGTGAATCTTGTCCAGTCTCTTGCAATCAAACTCCCACATACACTAAGGTGTAACTTACAATTTGCAATACAGTAATTGTCATCAAAACTTTAGCCAAAATTGACATCAGATTATCCCTCCAGAGTACAGTGTTATATTGACAACATGACTAAGCAATTTGACTGTCTTATCCGTACACAATGACACAAGGACTTGTCATTCTGATGGCACTGACTTGTTCATTGACACAGATATCTACTTTTGAGAGATGAACTAAGGATTTTGAGCAAGAGACTGGCTTTTGCATGTAATCCATGGTTGTTCTGCTATTTGTACGAATTGTTTTGAGAAATGCTCTTACTGTTTTACAAATGTCGAGGATGATTCGAGAAATGTACCAAAGCGACTGAGAAAAACTGTAAAAAAAATATTCTATTTAAAAAAAAAAGTCATACCATATTAAACCAAAAGAGAATATTTTACACAATAGCATGAAAGAAAATATACAGGATGTCATATATAGAGTAAAATTAAGAATGAGGGGAGGCCTATATAAATGTCTTTTTGCCAAAATATATCAAATATATCAAAATATATCATGAATTCTGGAGAATTCATTTCTTTTATTCTACAGACTCAGATTCCTAGTTGGTTTATTTGAATTTGACAAGGCATACAAAACATATATTTGATATAGTGAGTCTGGCACTCTGTTAAGCCAGTTGAAACTGTGTTTACAATCAGCGTTCTTTTTTTCCCTTCACATTGAATGCGAGTTAATTGATCCACGTAAGCCCTCTAGATTTGGCAACTTCACTTTCTTTGGAGATGCTTTCCGGCTCATTAAAGATTTAGAGGAAATTTCAGTCACTCAGCGCCCACAGGAGATGCCGTTGCATTTTTACTCAGCGCCTTGCTTATTTTCTTACCTTCTCTTGCATGATGTTAGCTCCTGCTGGAAGCTCTCATTGTATAGCGCTAGCTAATGAGAGAGAGAGTATAAAGGATGGGGAGGGAGGAAAGATCTCAGCTTAGCTAAGCAGAAAGATGACCCATTGCTGCATACAGTAGACATCTGAACATACACTGTGATGGTGTGTGATTTATGTTTGCGTTCACGCTCGTTCAAAGCCTCCATTGTGTATCATCCTCACACATATTCTTTGAATGAAACTACTCTCAGCCGCACAGCCATATGAGGAATAATCCTATTGGCCTGTTTTAGAAACACATTAACAGCCAAGACTAAATATAGCAGGTAGAGTAACTGCACAGTCTCGCAATGCACCATGGGAAAACAGAAACATTCGGTCCAGATTTTTTCTCTAACCACGTCTGGAAAACATCAAGTCTGGAAAACATCACATTTAGACAATGAGTTGTCTGTTTGTCACAGAAAAATCCTGTAGCTGGCTAGTTTTTGTCACTTCTCATGAATTTTCCATGAATCCAAAGCGCATCCTCCCCCATCCTACTCCCAAAGGGGACTGAGTTTGTCCCCATGTGTCCACAAGCAATAATCCCCCATCTGCCTGTTTTCATGCCGCCTCAGGTCTTGGGGATTCTTCAAATCACCATGTAGTAATTTGCATTCCTCGTATTTCATTGTTCAATTGTTTCAAAAACAGCATGCGTATTTTTTTTATTGGTTCTTGACTGCATAAATAAAAACATAATTTCGCCAAATTAAAATACATTTCTCTCAGGGTGTGTTCACACTTGGCAGGTTTGGTTAGATTTAAACGAAGTCTGGTGCGATTGCTCTGTTAGTGCAGTTCATTAGAATAAGTGTGAACGCTGCCATCCCCAATCTGGTTCGCACCAAACAAGAGTACCGAGACCCACATTTTCTGGGGGTTTCAGGTCCCTTCCAAATGAGCTCTGGTGCCGTTCTGCACAGGATGTGTTGTGCAAACCAAGCATAAGATCTAAAATGCATTTGAGAGGTACTCCAAATCCATTAAACTTCAGAAACATGACTAAGTTGACAAAATAAGCTAAAAATGGTTTGATAATATATTTGCATATTAAAGCCCTGTTCTGGCACTCTCTGGGACATTTGAAACTCTTGTGCAAGTCACTTTCTGGCTGGTATAATTAGGCGACTGCATCCCTCTGAAGCTGTTCAGCGCCAGCTGTTATATGACTGGACGTCCGCAGGGAGCTGCCTTCATTGTAATTAACTCACGGCGCAGAAAAAAAAGAGGGCCACCTCTCCAGGTACAAGACTAACGGTCCAGTCACCACGAGCGTAGTATCTGCTCTTCACAGCTTGTTAACTGTGGTCAGAACATTTCATACTATAACAAAGTGAGTGCTCTTATAAACTTTGTAACATTTAACATTTCCCCCATTTTTACCCATACTGTTTATTTTAAGAACAAGTCAAGTCAAGTCAAGTCAAATATATTTATATAGCGCTTTTCACAATACAGATTGTATCAAAGCTGCTTCACAGTTTCAATCAAAACAACTTAACAGTGTTTTTTTATTACTGGAAAAAGACATCCAAGTTTGGTAGAGCTGATCAGTGGTATGATGGGTCATTTAATTTGAATATCCCCAACTGAGCAAGCCAAAGGCAACAGTGGCAAGGAACCGAAAAACTCCATCAAGTGACCCGATGGAGAAAAAAAAAAAACCTTGGGAGAACCCAGGCTCAGTCGGGGTCAGTTCTCCTCTGGCGTTTATGAAGTAGAACACACCTTTCTTTCTCGGTCAGCCCCTATAACCAGATCCTCAGTGCAAAGTGGGTTCTCCTAGGCGATGTCAAACCATTTATAAATGTGTAATAATACTGGACTCATACAGACAGGTCGGGATTTCCCATTGAATAGTGTGCGATGCAAATGCGAAGGTCGAACTCGGCTAAAGTTAATGTTATCAGATTCTGTGACAATTGTAGCGTCTTCTTTTTCTTATTAAATTGTGTAATTGTTCTAATGATACAGAAATGACTCACTTCACTTTAAGTTATCACAGTAATCATGGGAGGCCAAACGATCGCATTGTCTGTTTACTGACACAGTTTCTTGCTGCTGCCAAGCAGTGGGCAAACATTCCTCTAAGAGCCTCGCTACTCTTTAGATGTGACGTGATTCCTGCGAGGATAGCTGGAGGTTTAGTCTAAGAACCACCTGGCGCAACAGTTGGACTGGATTTGTATGATACAGAGAAAGACGGCAGGATTGAGTCAGCGGGGTGAGCTAGGCTAAGGTGCTCCCTGGTTATGGATCAAAGTGCTAAGGTACTCCAGATGGTTGGGACAGGTAGTCTGATTATTTCTTAATGGAAGCTAATGGTCCATGAAGACGCTTGGCCCAAGAAACGTTCAAGTGTGCCGGCTGTAAAACAATAACTATCCCTGGACATCGATCTGTCGGTTTTAGAGGCTGCAGTGTGTGCTGAGACTTTTAACTCCTCAAATGTTTGTTGTGTGGGATGGTTGTTGCTTACTTACAAGGGAATTAAGGGTTCAAGCGTGACCAGATGGCAATCTGTGGTTAAATCCGTACACCTGGTGTGTCACTAGGGCAAAGGTTCAAACCCTGAAATTACCTTTATTTATATAACACTTTATACAATACAGATTGCTTCAAAGCAGCTTTACAGTGATAAACGGGGAAATGATTTAATGATGCAAACCAAGTTCATTTCGGCTGTACAGCAGCTCTAAACGAAAATAGTGTCATTGTTCAGCTGAAGTCAGTTCAGTCATCAATCCATCAATTATTAAATTCGTTCATTTCATCTGGCAACTTGGAAAGAGGTTGTTTAAATACAGAGAAGTTGATCTTATATACATCTCATTTTCATATGATGAGCTATAAAACATGCAAAAACCCTTTTTAAAAATCGATGATTATATATTTTAGTGCATAAATAATATATATTTATGTACACTATGGTGTAGTGACCACTTTGTCAATAAGATTTTTTTTTAAAAAAAAAGAAGTCTCTCATGTTTACCAAAGTTGCAATTGTTTGATCAAAAATACAGTATGAATATTGTGAAATATTATAACAATTTAAAATAACTATTTTCTATTTTAATATCGTTTAAAATGCTATTTATTCCTGTGATGCAAATCTGAATTTATGAATCATCTGAATCATTACTCCAGTCTTCAGTGTCACATGATCCTTCAGAAATTTTTCCAATAGGCTGATTTGCTGCTCAAGAATCCTCTTTTATTATCATCAATGTTGAAAACAGTTTTTTTATGTGTATTTATGTGGAAACTGTGATTTTTCTTTAGGGAACTTTTTGGTGGTAGTGTATAGCTATAAAACATGCAACAAAATCATATATATATAGTATAGTATATTTTAATATTTAATATTAGTTTATTTTTTATTAGTATTTAATATCCTTCCTTAATTTTGTACCACTCTTTATTTGATCTTTTGTTTTTATTTATCTTTGTCTGTAGGAAAACCCATACCTGTGTAGTGACGAATGCGATGCCTCCACTAAAGAACTCGCCCATCCTCCAGAGCTGATGAAAGATCGTGAGCGAACTGGACTCATCACGTATTGGCAGACTGTAACATGGAGTCGATTTCCTGAGCCTCTTCTGGCCAACATATCCTTATCCTGGAACAAAAGCCTTGAGTTAACAGATGACATCCAGATAACCTTTGAGTACGGGCGGCCCACAATAATGGTGCTGGACAAGTCCCTGAACTATGGGCGAACCTGGCAGCCTTACCAGTACTACGCTGATGACTGCTTCGAGACCTTCGGGATGTCTCCAAAGAGAGTGCAGGATCTGTCGGCAACTAACGTGACCAGAGTCATATGTACCGAGCAATACTCTCGTTGGGTCGGTTCCAAGAATGAGAAGAACGTGCAGTTTGAGGTCCGGGACCGCTTTGCCATATTTGCTGGGACAAAATTGCAAAACATGGACAACTTGTACACACGGATGGAGAGTATGAAAGGCCTCCGAGACTTTTTCACCTTCACCAACCTGCGGCTTCGGCTGCTGAGACCGGCGCTCGGAGGTACATACGTACAAAGAGACAACCTGCTCAAGTACTTTTACGCCATCTCCAATATCGACATATCAGCAAGGTAATGATGCACAACACTATGTTAGTCTTACTCATGGATAGTTGTTGCTTTTTTAAATTGTTTTCATTTTTTAGGCTTTTTTTTGTCATTTTATTGAGAGAAAAAGTAGAGATATGACAGGAAATTATGGGAGAAGAGAGAGAGAATGGTATAAGAACACAACTTCTTTCAAAGTTGAATTTCATTTTATCATAGCTCAAAGAAATACATTGGACATAATATAATTAAACAGGACCTATTATGCTTTTTTACATTTTCAACTTTCTTTAGTGTGTAATGTTGTTGGTCTGTAAAGTTACAAATCATAAAGTCACTCCAAAGGGTGCTATTTTCTATATCAGTAATCAATGTTTATGAACTCCCTGAAACACTCCAATTGTAGACTTTTTTTCCAGGAACATACGTCACAATATTCCTCATTTAAATAATTCCCGCCCAAGGCATACACAAAATAAAGGGGGCGAGGCCTGGTTGAGTTGCGTTTCTAGTGTGTTGGAACTCATGGTTATGGTAAGGGGCGTGACATTTCTGAAACATGTTTGAAGCGGTTGACCAGTCACAACACACTGGTCCAGCTGACCAATCAGAGTACATTGCGCTTTTCAGAAGACAGGGCTTCATATGGCGCTTTTCCACTGCATGGTACGGCTCGCTTTGCTTTTCCACTGCAGTTCCACTAGTACCGCTTCAAAGTGGGTGGCATTATAGACTGATATATAGTTGCGCCACCTACTGCCGTGACATCATCCACTCCTCGGCTACCAACGAGACGAACGTCTGCACCTCGTCTACTGACCACGATTCAGCCATTTCTTTTTTCAAGTTGCGTGGGACGGTCGTTTAAAGCAAGTCAAGTCAAAAAAGCACAACAAATGAAACAAATGATACTACGGTGGCTATGGCTGCAAGCGGGTTTGTTGTCTTGTTTCGCGAATCCAATGACGGTGGTAGTGACGATTCTCTCTGACCCATCAGTGAGCTGCAGTGTTGTTTACACATCACATTTTAGTATCGGTGCGGCACGCTTGGAACCTTTACCGAGGTGGAACTATTTAAGCGAGCCGTACCATGCAGTGGAAAAGCTCCAAAAAGTGATCCGTACTGAACCGTCCCATGCAGTGGAAAAGCTCCAAAAAGTGATCCGTACTGAACCGTCCCATGCAGTGGAAAAGCTCCAAAAGGTGATCCGTACTGAACCGTACCATGCAGTGGAAAAGCGCCAATAGAAACAGGAACTAAACAGAGCATCATTGACAGACTGGGAAGAGTGGTGCTGCAACAATGTAAAATATGTGAAAAATAATGTGTCTACTAATTATATATTACTTAGTATATAATCTTAGCATATTTGAAACTAGTTGTTCTATGCGTTAAAGTGATCAGCTATTATAAAAATGTCCAGCAGCAAAGGGGGATCAATGCACGGGCCAAACCTCCGGTAATGCAAACCCTCAATCAATACTTATTCTGGTATGTCAGGGAGGAAATTGTTTTAACGGCGACAGGGAATGGGATGGCTTAAGTAGACAAATGGACATGCAGAAAGGAGCCTATCAGAGGGCTGACTGATGTTTCAGTGTTTCATAATGAGAGGACCGCCGGAGTGGAAATGTTAAGCTAATACCCAGCGGAAAATCGTCCTGGGATATTTTATTCATTCCACAACATTGGGATGCGTTTCAGCAGCATTTGAATAATAAAAATGGCAAGGCCTCCCTGATGGCCTGCCCTGTGAGTACTCGTCTAAATGGAGTCCACGGGGTTGGTGGGTGTTGGGCACGAAAATCAGATCAGACTCTACGACCAGTGACACTTCCTGCATCACTGCCCATTTCCCCTGCCATCAAGCATTCACTAATAATCAGTGCTGATTACACTAATAGCCTATAATAACATGGGCCAAGAATCCTTAATTGAGGAAGATGAAGTGTTACTTGTTTAAAGCAATTAAAGTACGCTGTTAATTTCCATATTTACCTCTTTATTTTGTGGCTTGTTTGCCAGGAGACGTTACGTGCGCTCTGATAATGATGTTTGCCTTTTCATCCGAAGTGCCAGCGATACTACTAACTCAAATTTCTGCAGAAGGCATCTAAAAATAGCCTGACTGAACAATGAAAACATATTCCTCAGTTGTTTTTTTCCCTGCTGCTTTGATGACATTCGTGAAAAATCATCTTGATCAGCCCCTTTCCCGCTAAAAAGAAATGTTTAGGAGGCATCGTGCTGTACAGCACGCCACGTGTCTGTGAACATAATGAGACACAACCATTCTCCCTGTGAAGCTCGTCTTGCGGGATTCATTTTTTTGCCCAACACTAATATGTGAAAAGATAAGACTTGCGTTTTATCCTCAACTTCTCCTCCCTGCTCCAGCTTGCTGCAATCTGACGTGAGATACAAGACAGTAGAAAGAGTTCCCAAATAGGCGTCCCAGTAGATGGACCGTATTTGGAAACGGTAAGAAAGCGGGAGGGTGGGCTCGTGTTCCATCAGACAAATATCCCAAAGACATTGCTTGAACCTTAATTAAACCTGGTAAGGGAGGAAATAAATAAATAAACACCATTCCCAGGGTTCATGTTAATTTATGCAAAGACTTGAGTTGATCAGATGCATCTCCTGTTCCCGTTCCCGCTTCCCTTTCCTCCCTGAATCCTCCCTTCTGAAAATCCAGTGTACCAAGATACTGCAACCTGCATATCAAAGACGCCAAAGATGGCTGGTGAATTTGGCATGAGGGATTTTTGATTAATAATGTTTTGGTAATATACAGAGAACCTGATAGATAGGGCATTTCGAAAGATCAAGGTCGAACGGAAAGAAAACGGGTCGGTGTAAACCTATCAGAACTCACATCTCAGAGATGTCCTTGGGCCTACATTGGCAAAGAGACAGAGGCTATGGAGGAAAGGTGAGATGGAGGAAGCTCCAGAGGTGCCAGGAGGACAACATCAGGATCATTCCGTCTTTATCACCCGTGTGTGGGCAGAAACTCTATCATGAAAGCACCACCATGAAGAGGTGTTTTGTAGAGAATCTAGAATCCCTCAGAGATTGATTCACACCCACACTTGGATTGTGCTGTTGTGCTCTTGTATTAAATGTAAGTGCTTGTGTTTTAAACCATTTAATCACCAGGCCAGACAACACCAAGACATAGTGATATATATAAAGAAAGAAGTTGAAAAGTACATACCCGTCAAAGGTTTGTACACACCTACTTGTTCTGTATTATTACTAGTGTTGGGGAAGGTACTGACACTTCAGCTTCCCAACCTACTGACAAAAAGTAGCATTAAAACATTAGTTCACCCAGAAATTAAATTATTTTATTAATTACTCACCCTCATGTCGTTCCAAACCCGTCAGACTTTCTTTCATCTTTGGAACACAAATGAAAATATTTTTACGGAAAGAGCTTTATGTCCCTCCATTGACAACCTACGCAACTACCAATTTGACACAACAAAATGTTCATAATGGTAAACGGAAGCTCAAGCATGTTCGCTTGACATGCGAGAATCAATGAGGTTCATTCTCGTGTTACACAGCACAATTGAGCGTCCTCAAGAACCAATTATGTTCATTCTTGTGTTACGCAGCACAATTAAACTTCTTCAAGAACCAATGAGGTTCATTCTTGTGTTACACAGCACAATTGAGCGTCCTCAAGAACCAATTATGTTCATTCTTGTGTTACGCAGCACAATTAAACTTCTTCAAGAACCAATGAGGTTCATTCTCGTGTTACGCAGCAGAATTGAGCTTCTTTAAGAACCAATGATGTTCATTCTTGTGTTACGCAGCACAATTGAACTTCTTCAAGAACCAATGAGGTTCATTCTCGTGTTACGCAGCACAATTGAGCTTCTTTAAGAACCAATGATGTTCATTCTTGTGTTACACAGCACAATTGAACTTCTTCAAGAACCAATGAGGTTCATTCTCGTGTTACACAGCACAATTGAGCTTCTTTAAGAACCAATGATGTTCATTCTTGTGTTACGCAGCACAATTGAACTTCTTCAAGAACCAATGAGGTTCATTCTCGTGTTACACAGCACAATTGAGCGTCCTCAAGAACCAATTATGTTAATTCTCGTGTTACACAACACAATTGAACTTCTTCAAGAACCAATGATGTTCATTCTTGTGTTACACAGCACAATTGAGCTTCTTCAAGAACCAATGATGTTAATTCTTGTGTTACACAACACAATTGAGCTTCTTCAAGAACCAATGATGTTAATTCTCGTGTTACGCAGCACAATTTAACTTCTTCAAGAACCAATGATGTTCATTCTTGTGTTACGCAGCACAATTGAGCTTCTTCAAGAACAAATTAAGTGTGTTTTCCCGCATCAAAGCACGGTTGAGCTCCTGTTTATGTTCGGTGATCAATGTTTATAGAGTATGTGAATAAAAGCCTAAATTCAATCTGTTCATCATATCAACGTAATCGAGTCTCTTCAGAAAATTTGGATTTAACCGCTCAATTCATATGAATTAGTTTTACGATCTCTTTATGAACTTTTTGAAGCGTCAAAGTGGTAGTTGAGTAGCTATCAATGGAGTGACAGAAATGGCTCAGATTTCATTAAAAACATCTTCATTTGTGTTCCGAAGATTGTTTTTACTGTATTTTTGATCAAATAAATACAGTCTTCAAAAACCAAACATATGACCCTCAACTTTTGAACGGTAATTTATATGAGTAAAAAAAGAATATGAATAGTATATGAAACTGTAAACAAATTTGCACACTAGAATGTGTAGTATGGTAGTATGCTACTCCAAACACAGCCATACAAATGGAACCTTTGCACTGAAGCCTCAGGTTGTGATATGCAACGTTCATCTGTGTTGGTTGATATTTAGTAGTCAAGGTCCTGTGGCAGGGGTCTGATGGGTAAAGCCAGCTTTGGCCTCATGATCATGGACAGATTGGCAAGATGTGTCTGAGATCTGGGCAGGATCATTTATTCAGTCTGACCCTT